AATGCTTACTTTATTTTAAATCTGTTTTAGGCCTGTTAAAATGTTATAAAAAGGTCATTTGGTCCTACCTTCTGTGATGTTGCAGCATTAATGTCCCACTCTAATGGTTTAAATTGCTTCATTAGGTTTCTTCAATACATAAGCAAATTATAAGTTGATCTTTGGTTATTCGGGTTTTCTCCCACGTAAGATTGGAAGTATCTAGGCAACGTTTCGATGAAGTCTCATTCATCATCTTCAGGCTTGGGTCTTCGGCTCTGTGCTTCTCAGAGTGAATTCTGCTTCACTCTGAGAAGCACAGAGCTGAAGACAAAAGCCTGAAGATGATGTATGAGACTTCATCGAAATGTTGCCTAGATACTTCCAATCTTACGCGGGAGAAAACCTGAATAACCAAAGATCCACATACAAATACCCGCGAGAACCTCAGAAAACAAATTATAAGTTCCTGCTACTTTGAATCATTACATTGGCATATCAGGTTATTGTGTGATATGTAATCTAGATAAAGGACATGCATTATCCTAATTTTTTTTCTTAATTTCTAAATCCAGAGTAGTGTTTCAGGATTTCCTCTGTCATTTAAAAAGCAGCAAGGTAATTTTGAATTATTTTACTGCAGATAAAACTTTGAATCAGAGGTGATATTCAGCAGGTTCTGACCAGTTCTGAAGAACCAGTAGCGGAAATTTTGACTAGTTTGGAGAATTGGCAAATACCACCTCTGACTGGAGATTTTACAGTATTCTTCCCCTGCCAAGCCCACCAACTCATGCCCACAGAAACAGTAATAAAAAAAATTTAATCCCACCACTGCTTTGAATCTATTTTTGTGGGCCATTCAAATTCAAAACTATATGATACGGCTATTGCAAAGTAAAGAAACAATTGTATTTAATAATTTAACAGGCTCAGGATAGGGAAATATATCAATCCTAGCCCTTCTTCATCTCTTGGCTGCTTTTAATATCAATGATGGTACCTAGTTGGGCCAGCTGAAAGAGTTGAGTGTGGGAAACACAATTCTTCAGTGTTTTTCCAGCTTCCTTTGAGGCTGATTCCAGTCAGTGTTGATAGGAAAGGCAAGATTCAGTTCTACAATTCAGAATAGCTCAGAATTTTACTCTTTACCTGCTCCTATTTAATATCTATAGGAAACTGCTGGGTGAATAATTTATTGGCATGAAATTAAGCATTAGTATATCTTAGTGGAATATCTCTGCCCCATGGTAATGGTCTGTAGACTGAAAAAGTTTGGATGGGAAGAAATAGTTTTAGTTCAAGTGATTTTCCATCATTAACGCTGAATGAGACAAGAAAGTTGCTGTGAAATGTGAATCCTACTTGAGGAGAAAGTGGCAGCTGTGACCATGATAGTTTTCACACAAATGCATCTTGTGCAACAGTAGCATCTATTCTTAGATCAACAGGCACTGTTCATAGTTACTCATGCCTTCCTTATATAATTACTGGTATGTGAATGGCATGGCTTCCATGTGCTATTACAGTGAAGGTTACCATCTATAAGGCCCTACATGGAGTTAAAAGTACCGCTGATGGTTTCCACAGATACCATATGATATGGAAGGATGGACTTTTTCTGAGTTCCCTCAGTAAAGCAGTGCTATATTTCATTTTGTTCACCCTCCAGAGTTTAGATGGGCAGCCACATAAATTGAATTATAAATAAATAAATTCTTTAAAGAAATGGAATTAGTATAGGCATTTATTGCAATATATCACTTAAATGTATTTTTATAAGCAATATTCGTCATTGTTTATGCCCCACAATAGTATATCAATATTGGCTAATTTCAGTAACTTAAAATGCTCATCATCTCAGATTACATTTTGACTGAGAAATCAAAGGAACTCTAATAATTAAGTTTATATAGCTGCATTCTATTAACAATCTAGAATGCTACTTCTGCATAGGTTGGGCAATTATTTAGCTAGTTTCTACAATATATTGCTGAACCTATTATTAGTTATATATTATGATATTTATTTTTTTATAATATTTATTATTATTTATTTAGAATTGTATAAAATCAAGTAGACCTTTGGGGTTATTACTTAGCATTATGCACATGGACTTTTGGCCCCCTACTAATAATATTATTATTTTTTATTTCTGTATTAACGCTTTGTGTTTACTTTGAACTGCATAAAGTGGAAAATACCATATTTTTATTACCCAGTGCAAAAGTAGTACTTGCCAGATGAATTAGTCCCATAGGTTCCCCTAGGTATAATTTATTGTGCAATGTTTAGTTTACACTACAGTAAACCCAGAAAATTGGGTTATTTCCAAAAGCCATAGGTAAGTTAACCATGGGGGAATATGATGTGTGTATACAGCCTCATATCTTTTCACAGAAGACATGCCTCTGCACACAAGTTCATTCTGTGTCAATATTAATGATACTTTTCCAGCAGACTGTGAAACCCATTCACTAGTACTTATATGGTGAAAGATTAATTGCTCACATCGCACATCTACACTGTCATGAAATGGATCATGTTGTGCATTTCATTAATCATTGCAGAATAATGAAGCCATAACAAAATGTACACATATTTGTTTTTTAAGACCCACTTCCAACATTAGAACAAATTCCTAAGCAGAAATTCTGTATCATACGGTTTGTACTAGTACACACTCATTTTCAACTTGGCAGATATTATGTCAGGATGTAATGAGCATGTATAAGATTTATTAATCCTATGCTAGTGAGGTGTCTGTGTTCCAGAGTTCCTTTGAAATTTCTCTCAAAATTTATACTTAGGAGTTCTGAATTAATTTTTCCTGTTTCTGAAGTGGAGCTGGTGTCCTGTCATTTGCTTATTCATTTCTAAATCTTGCAAATCTCTATACAAATGCATAAAATGTGATAGTTTAATGTCCCATAAGTTAATTTTCCTCTGTCCTTACATCATGAACAGTATTACAGCAGGATATATAGATTAACCTACATCAATATTGCAAATGTTCATTCATTCATTCATTAGGAATTTTGTGCATTATCTGCATCATCCTGATATTTTAAAAAATAAAAATCCTAATATTAATTAGGCAATATCTAATATCTAATTTTAAAGTAACATCTTAAATAGCATTGCAAATATTTAAATTGCATAATACCTGCTTCAAATGAGTGATGATCAGTCCCACTCCTCTTTGCCCAATTATATCACTATTAAGTCCTAATGACAAGGGACTCAAAGGCATTCTTTTTTTTCCTTTTTCTTGTCCCTGCTTCCATCTTTGAACAGATCAGGCAGAAGCCAATACAGTGTAGAAAAGAAGTTACTGATACCTTTTGGGACTCAGAAGTGTTTCTTTCCTGGGTATGGGACTCATCAGATTTCTAGTAATACCTTATCCAAATGTCAATTTCAACCCTCCTTTAATTTAAAAGAGTATGGTGATGCCATTTTATCTGTATCCAAATTATAATTATTATCGATTGTGAAATAAGAAATTTGACATACAGGAAGAATTCAAAATGGCAGCCAGAAGTTTCTTTGTTGGTACAATATTAGGAGATACAAAGGGAAGTAGAGAATGGGTTCATAGATGAAATTATAGGTTGAAATTGTATCTCCCATCTCAATATCATTGGCACCAATACTTCACTTTGTCAATGCATCCTTTGGGATAGAAAAGGAGATAGTAGCATTAGAAGACAAGAGTTCACTACAATGTTAATTTTCCTAGTTCTGCTTCAAAGTTAGTTTCTAGATCCTTACAATGTATGAGATACTTTAAGAGTAACATTTTGTAAGTGTTTGTATTTCGGAGTCACAAATAGCAGTTTTTCTTATTGTTCATTTGGAAGGCTTGATTCTTTTTGAGCCAACAGCAAGATGTTAGTACAAATTTTAATGGCATATCTTTGTAAAAACTTACTACAAAACTTATTTTTGTCTTAAATTAAGGAGACAATTAATTTGCAGTATCTTTCAGTATATCAGAAAAATGTGGAAACAGTACGGTTTCTAACCTCTAAGTGGTTAGAAATTGAACACATGTAAGAAAAACATAATTCAATTATCAGTATTTTATAGGTGGTATTGGACTATAAGTGACCTAGACTGATAGACCAAGGATGGAACTTTAGATTTTTTAAATTATATACAAGGTTTAACATAAATTTAAATATACTTAAGTTCAAAAGTTAATCAGGGTAAACTTTGTCATTCATCTATGGAAAATAAAAATACAGCTGTTTTTCTCATATCAATGCCTCATTATTACCATATTTTTTCTTGGAGACTGGCAAAAATTTAGAGGATCAAGGTCTCACACAAACATATTTTACTCAGCAGACAGATTGTTTTTCCAGTTGGAGTAGGGGCTGACAGCATTTCTAAGGGACAGTATACTTGACCAGAGACAAAATTATCAAAAGAGCTTCCATGATAAGGCTTATATAATTGCTTGATATGATACCATTGCTGTGCCATTTGATTGTGCTCCTTTTTCCTTGACCCAATTTTTGACTGCTGTTAAGTTCCATGATACTCCATTGCTACTTTCATATCCACTCTCCATTGTTAACTCTTGCAAATGGAGATGTATCAAAATGCATCCTCATATTTGCAACAACCCTGCTTGTTGTCTATGGAGATTCTCAGTTATTCAGGTCATGGTTGTCCCAAAGATGTTTTTTCAAGAGGCAACCGGACTTTCTGGTTTTTATTTGAAGACGTTTTTCTTCTCATCCAAGAAGCTTCTTCAACTCAGAGTTTCTTTTGGATGAAAGAGTGAAACATCTTCAAAGAAAAATCAGAACGTCCAATTGCCTCTTTAAAAAGCACTTTTAGGACAACTCTGCATGTTGTATATACTATAGTTGCATGTTGTATATACTATAGTATATATACATAATAGTTATATACATAATATATAATAGTTGACTTGGTTTTATTTCAATTTCTTTTAATTTATGAAGGAAACTAATTCCAATTTCTTCCCTCTTCCAAACACTTTGAAGGAAACTAGCCAAGAAACAAAAAGAAACCCAAAGCAGCAGTCAACGAGAAATGGGACCCGTTGCTGCTTCAGACAAGAGTGCTACAAAAAGCGCTGCTCACAATGAAGACACTTTCATTTCAGGCTGTCAAGATGTTAATGGATTCAGTAAGTTCCACATTTTCATGATGGTATGCTCATGCTCAGGAAGATTTTGGTAATTAAATGACTTGCACGCCACTGAAGTAAATAAGCAAAAAGTTAAGGTATGAAGTTAAGGATTAAGGACAAAAACCCTTAATATTATTTATGTCCTTCTGTTCTAACTGTTTGAAGCAAGAAGAGAACTTCCTGACGGTTGTAATCCCAGTTCAAAGCAGATGCAGACAACCTTCAATGTCAGCCAGTTTAGTCCAGTGATTGAGGTACCAGGTTATGAGGCTGAGAGTTCTAACCCCACCTTAGACTTGAAAATTGGCTTGATGACTTTGGGCTAATTATTCTCTCCCTCAATTCAACCTGCTTCACAGGGTTGTTGCAGGGAAAATAGGAGGTGCAAGGAGTATTAGGTATGTTCACCCCCTTACTTATTTATAAAAATAATAATGGTGGAATATAAATAAATAAAAATACTGGAAATCCCCAAAGCATTCTCCCTGGAACCTTCTTTTTTTTTTTTTTTGACTTTTTGTCAAAAGCCAGTGCAGTGCATTTCTACATTTTTGAAACTAGAAACACAAACAAACCTGAACATCCTAATTATGCTGAACACATTTACTAATAAAAAGAAAACCAGAAGTATTGCCCTGATTCAAGAGCAACCTAAAAATATTCTGCGTTATTATATTTTGCATAGAAAAGGCTGGATAGCCACCTGTCTGAAATGGTATAGGATCTCCTGCTTGAGCAAAGGGTTGGACTAGAAGACCTCTGAGGTCTCTTCCAGCTCTATTCTGACTTACTATAAATTAGAATTAACTATACAAATAAACAGCTTCTCGTGGGAATCAGATTGATTCTGGCTATATTGGGAACTGCAAATCAAAACAAAAGATAAATGTTAGTTTTAGAAATTGGGCTCTAGAGGGGAGTAAAGATTTAAAACAGAAGGAAAAACACAAGTGTTGTGTTGGTTAATACTGGGATTTATAAAGTGTTACAAAACAAAACTGGAAATATTAATGGAATATAATGGTGGAATATAAATAATTTTTTTTGTTTTGAAGAATGGAATCAGAAGTTAGTAACTACAATATCAACATTATCACTGTTATGTCTGCTTCTATGAATAGATTATGTCTAAAAGTTTTTAATGAAAGAAAAATAGATACATTAATATTTTATTGAATTAAAAAAGTGAGTCTTGTAGAAGTAAAAGGAAGGAATATAACTTGGTTTAACTGATCAAGGTTACAAAAAGACTATATATATATATATATATATATATATATATATATATATATATATATATATATGTGTGTGTGTGTGTGTGTGTGTGTGTGTGTGTTTTCTGAGGTTCTCGCGGGTATTTGTATGTAGATCTTTGGTTATTGGGGTTTTCTCCCGCGTAAGATTGGCAGTACCTAGGCAATGTTTCGATGAAGTCTCATTCATCATCTTCAGGCTTCTGTCTTCGGCTCTGTGCTTCTCAGAGTGAAGATCCACAAAGATACACACACACACACACACACACACACACACACACACACATATATATATATATATATGGATCCTTTGGTTGTTCGGGTTTTCTCCCGCGTAAGATTCGAAGTATCTAGGCAACGTTTCGATCACTCTGAGAAGCACAGAGCCGAAGACAGAAGCCTGAAGATGGTGAATGAGACTTCATCGAAACGTTGCCTAGGTACTGCCAATCTTACGCGGGAGAAAACCC